CCGGCTAGCGACCTTCAATGTTGACTGTATATCACTGGTCATTGTGGATTGTTGCTCTTTCTATTAACCATCGGTATGTTTGGTCCTACCATTCTCCTGCTCTACTCTGAGAGCGATGGTAACTGCTCACATAATGCGGCGCCGTGAACCTGATCTTTTTAATAAACCTGGACTGTTATATTTTGGTTTAAAATTACGTCAAAAGACTATTCATGGGCAATATAGGCTACATTTACAGACATACAAATAATTAATTCTACTCCAGGTTGTTTTATATTTCAGTATAATATTGTTAGCGTGGCTGTATATGTTGTCAATGTTGTATTCATGCTGTATACCAGCAAACATCGCTATCTTTCCTAAAGATCAATAAAAAAGTATATAATTGTGAAATTGCATTATACCATCTATGCCTACGTGCTCTGCTATACCAACCAGACACTAGGGGCAGATACTGTAGGTCACAGACGGTCTAGGTCCACTTCAGAACGATTGCAGCACCCCTAAATAAAGCTGTGTTCACCACTTCCACCAGACAGGCTAGGTGAGTGTAAGTGGTAAGGGTTCAACTTTAGACTGTTATTAAGACTGACTTCTCGTTCACAAAACAACATTAATCTTGCTTACAATAAAACGAAAACAACTGAAGTCACCCTAGAATTGTTCATGAATTATATTCAATATTTCAAGTTTAATAAAGGTGTTTATTTTATATGCTAACTCTCTATTTTGGTGCAAAAAGGCCTCTACAAAAAATATACACAAATTTTTAATGGTGGGTGAGAATGAAATAGTTCTTCCAAGGATATGTATGTACGTTTGTGGTGATTCAGTGAGTGTTTTCAGCTTAGTAGCGTTCTCATAACGTTTCTAATGTTTCGATCAAATTAAATTTTCAAGTTGATACTTTCGTTTGCATGGCACTTAATAAAATAGAATAAAAATAACTTGACACACAATTCAACAGTTTTAACCCTCAAATAATAGTCAATACGAAAGCATCGATGAGATGTTAAATCAATATTTCAACTAAACAATAACCTTTCTTCATGATACATTTTATAAATAATACATAGAGGATATTTTTATTTTCTCGTCATGTTCATTCCTAGTGACTTAGCGTATGTGACATAGAGGGCAGTCACCACTGTCACAAAGTGGATATGTTCATGACTTCTGCGATGCCATGTTCTAAACATATGTTTAGTATAGTAATGAAATAAAACATAACATCAATACTCATTCTTTTATGTAATGAGTCATTTCGTATCGGTACCTTCTAACAGAATGAGATTTGTATCAGTAGTGTATGTTTCATCTGCGAACACACTGGTACAATTTGGGAGGCATATATATTCACTATAGCTAGGCGATGAGAGATTGATGGAAACACGCTTGGTGATGTAAGACCCTGGGAATTAAACAATGTGAAGTTATAAAACTCTCGTCAAGCGACATTCCTTCGTTTCTCGGCTGAAAACAGTAACATTCATTAATTCATGAACGAAGGCTGTAACATGCGTGAGAATTAACAACTGGAGTATGTTGATGTAAGGATATATAAGGAAAGGAGGAATGAGTGAGTATCTGAAGCGTCTAAAGTAAATTTCAATACGTTGTTAGTGTCGTACACACAGTACACGTGGAACATGACGACTACTGGTATTGGGGAATTACGTGTTGCTGCACATGCGAAGACAACTGTCACTATCCAAACAGGTATGAGGATCAGTGGAACGTGTCCAGGCATGTGTAATTTCCGTGATTGGATTTATATAGTGGATGTCTCTATTTCTCCATAAATGTGTTGAGGGGAAATTGCTTATTTGTTCACTTCTTATTTTATCAAGAATGTATCGTGCTATATGTTTTCACCTATATTAATACAATACATTTCCTAATCATAGGTGTTAGTAAATTTCAACCAACACGCAGACATATGGTGTAAAAATAGGTAACAATGTCGTGAAACTTAGTTTCGTAATTGGAAATATTTAGAAATTATTACCAGAAAACGACCCTGGCAAAGTGTGTTAGAAGTGGCCAATGACACTAAACTGTCACGATTTTAGCAGTACATAGAGTAAGATCGAGTTAAGGTTACTTTGTGAATCCCGCGAAACCCCAGACTAATTTAGTAATTTAAAGTTATCCTTGGCTAAGGTTATTTTGGTGAAGCTGGTTCAGGGAACACAGCGTCATCCAGCTGGTGATGCTTCTAGTGTGCACTATGTAGAACAATCCACAAGTTTTCTGTGTGTGTGTGTGTTTGTGTGTTCTCGTATTCTCTATTTTCGTGCTTATATATATATCTATTGTTGTCTCGTCAGCAAGCTACGTCTTGTAGCAAACAAGGAAGTACATTTGTCGCTCTCTACGGGATTCTGATGGATGTGCATATGGAAGCGTATTTACAGGAGAAACAGGCGCGTGTTAACTGACGAAACGTCACTACAAGCGGAGCAGGGAGTTCACCACTGACAGTTTGTTATTAACGCTAGATTGTGACAGGACATTACCAACAAGACCCTTTGTTCAGCTACAAGGACGTAGTTCTTTTTCCTAAAGTTAATTCCTATGGGACTATTAGATGCTATTAAGAGCCATGCACATGTAACTGAGTATTGAGGCGCTCTGTGTTCACTGTGTTTATTACCCCCACATACAGATCCAGGTCTCCATCAAATATGTCATCAGTTTTAATCCATTTATTCACCAAATCTTTTCATCGTGTTCTTACATTGTGTCTAAGGAACTCCAGCTGAACTCACGAGGAAGGAAGAGTGAAGATACGCGGGCAGTGACCAATATTCCAGTTATGTTACGACCGCCTGTCAATAATATTGGACTGATGGCTCGGTAAACCATTGCTGCAGGTGCTGAGGGGCTTCCCGTACCTTCAGGGATAAGGTGCTCTGCCAGATACCGCGTCAGTCCAGCCACAGCAACATGGGGACCAGGGGATCTAGACTCCATCCGGCATCACCACGGGGGGAGAACATGCTAGTTCAAGTCCATCCGGCATCACCACGGGAGGAGAACATGCTGGTCCAAGTCCATCCGGCATCACCACGGGAGGAGAACATGCTGGTCCAAGTCCATCCGGCATCACCACGGGGGGAGAACATGCTGGTCCAAACTGAACAAGTCAAGCTGAATTGCTGACAGTGTTCTATGCATGCTGATGTTGGTTGGTTGGCTTGTTGTTTAACGTCGCACATGTAAATGTACATAGTGTCAGCTGGTTTCACGCCCTTTAGTAAGGATGTGTGCACGTGTGTGTTTGCAGGCTGTCGATTACCTGATCAAATAAGATATATTAGAAGCAGACTATGGTTAGTTGTGTTGTCTTGTAGGGTGTATCTGATACCTGGTGAGTGCAATCAATGGACGTGGCCGTTTGCTCAGGTCTTGTAAGTTATTGTTAAAACAGTTTTATATTTGAAACCCCCGATTAAAGTTACATCAGAAATGAAGTTTACTTTCTGCCCAACACATCTAAATATAGCCCGTGCACACACATGCACGCGCGTGCATTTTGAGGAGTCTGGTACAATAAAGGGGAACGGATTAAAAAAGTGAAACAATATTTTGGCCACATCAATCCAACACTCTTTATTCTGAATCTTTAAACCAGTGTATGTTGAAAGAAAGAATGTATCGCTTAAGAAGTTTTTTTCTTATCATATCATACAAACACATTATCAGCCGATTGAAGTGTTTAGGCTGAGATATTATTAATGTTAGATCTACACGGAGATTGCACTACAAACTACAAAAGTATGTGTGAAACATGCGTGGAATGTTACTAAAATATATAAAACATATAATACAGCGGGAAACAAAGCCATTCTACGTGGTATTTAAGCGCTGTAATGTCATGGGGAATATATTATGAGATATCTGTGTAGTTTTCAAAATGTCATGCTCGCCAAGTCGTACATCCGTGTTAGCTGTAGTGCTGAACAAACTGTAGTTATTCCTCTCCCAGAACTGGAGTCTGCTGCAGATATACATGCAGATCAACAATGAGTAGAACCATAATCAGGTACCTTTTTTGCTGCTAGCTGTTGAATGAAATGTTTTCGAAATTAGCAATATATAACTGATTTCCAATTAAGTATTTGAACATTTACAAGCCAAACACCTTCACAGAGATCAGTCTGTAAGACGGATCTTGGTAAGCTTTCAAGAAGTACTCGCGAGAATGACGAGAACCTGAGCTCCAGCTGGTTTAGTGACAGACCAGTCTAGTTTAGTTTACCTTGTTGTGTAAGAACTGTTCCTCTACAGATAAAGAAAGTTATCTAAACATATCAAGATGAATTTCACTTCCATTCCTATTCGTCCTTTCCCCATAGATAACGACTGTTGCCTTTTGTCTAACAGTTTGGTTAATGATACCATGTATTTTCCATCGCAAGTCATAAACAGTCACTGTCAATCAGCGGAGTCGGAATGTTGCGCCTCGCTTTGATCTCACATGGATAAAAAGCGGGCTGTTTGTTTTTGTTGAGTCTAAACGGGAACTGCCATTGTTGTTGGAGCGATTCTGTTTCAAGCAAACCACAACAGAATGCAGGTACCACATATTACATCACACCATGTGGGCATGTATGGTTTAAACATACGCTTTCTGTAAATTCTTCATGAGCGTAGGATTTGTGCAGTGCCATTCTGTACATCACAACATTGGACGCCATGCATACTAACATATAGTCTCTGGAGTGAACATATTTTACAGAAAAAACAGATCCTAAATTGTAATCATAAAATATAATGAAAGGAGTCCAGAAACTTTTTTCATTTTCAGAAACTGTGGAAATCTAGACTTGCCACATATTCTAGACTTGCATGGGCTTTCTTGGATATATTTGTTTCAGGGTCTGTATGACAGACCATACGCCTTGGTGATCTGAGACACGCTCTACGTATACCGTGGTCACTATACCTTGGATCTCAGCACCCCAGGCTGAAAACAAAATACAATCAACGCATTGTAAAAGAATAATATGACAATTTATTCATGTGAGTTCCACACATATACACGATTTAGATACATAAACAGAATAGACTATTGTTTAACCTCGAGTACCGTTCACAAACACAGAAACAGGCAGATCTGTCAGACACAAGGTCCAACAACGTAAAAAACAACATAAGAGTATTGAGCAAAACTTGAACAAGTAAAGATCATATTTCCATTAAACTCATGAGGTGTAAGCGTACACACCATCGCGTATACAGCGTATATAGATTATTGTTGGCGACTTATAATTATGTACAATTAGACATAATAAGATTCATAAATTATGTGTTTCTAAATAATTCTTGTATAATTAATGCAAAAGAAAATTTTGCTTAAAAGGATTCAGATCTTTATACGCATTTGCTATTTGTCAATATATTTCCGGAGGTTCAACAAAGTGAGACAACAGTAACAGACATGGAAAAGAGTGTATTCCCATCCAGAAACAGTTTTGATTGCTGGACTTTGATTGAGCAGGTAAGGTGCAAATAAGTATGTATTTGATAATTCTATAAGGTATATAAGAGTGTATCAAAATTGAATCTACAATATTTTGATGAAGAGAATGTCTACGTAGATCAGCAGTGATACCATACAGCAGATCATTAGGCATATCGATGCAATTACAGGCATGGTTGGAACTGAATAATGACTTAATGGAATATATGACGTGAGAAGAAGGAAGATATCAAAATCTGATGGAGTCTTACTGACCTAAAGAAAATGAATAAATTGGATACATTTTGAAGAAGCAGACCTTTTACTTCGTAAATAATTATGTTTTCGAATTACTGCAAACAGTCTTAAATAAAGGCAATTTATACTGGGAGTTATGCTTTATTTTTAAAAGGTTAAAACCTGTAAAATAATGCAGAGAGCTTTAAAAGTTTGTTTCGTATAAAAGCTACAATGAAATACTTGCTATGTACAGAAAGCAATTTGAGCACTTAATGGCCGACACGGGACCCATGTGTGAATATGGAGGGGTGTTCTAACTACTATACCCCCACACCATATGCAGTGATAATGCGTCAAGATAAAAAAATGCCATTTTTGACACAGAAAAACTGGTAAAATGGCATCGATGGCAAGATTTACTAACAAATACAACGAAAACGGTAATGGCTATGTTTGCATTCACGCATTCTCAGTCATATGTTTTCACATGAATGTGAATGATAAATTGTACAATTATCTTGTATCTACAAATAAAATATACACACGGAATAACCGTATTTGATTGACAATATAATACCTCAATAATCTAGAATTTGTTTGACATAAACGAGAGCTTTTACCCGATATCTGCAAGAAATCTGGAACAGATTTTACACGTTAGATTCGATGTTACCATGGTTATCTCTACGTAACAAACACACAAACGTATATTTGAGCAAGGCCTCCTCTTGTGGGAAGATATGTCTCTGCCCCAAAGGAGTAACGTAGGGAGCCCCATTCGGTTCACAAATATGAAACTATACGTCAATACATTCCAAATGATTGACTTCAATTCCGCTAAGAATTGTGTCCCGAATGCGTTTCCATAAATACTGGTGATTCGCTCTACGGTCTTCGCTGTATGTTCACAATACATCTAGTATCTATGTGTCTAGGCTTCCATATATCTCTATATCATGACAATCTATAATGTGTGTGGCAAATGAAATGTTTAATAAATATTGCACACAACAAACATTTTGATTAGTAGGTATCAGATCGACTGTTCGGCACGTCCCTCTGGCGCAGCCGTGCTGGATGAAATGTACATGAAATTGATGATGGTAGGTGTCACCTGTATGGCACGACATGTGGGACAGATTTCAGTAAAAGACAACTATATATTGGACATCCCTGCTGTCATCAGCACGTTGACACACCTATAGATGTACATAACAGCAGTACAGAGAGCTGACCCAGGACCAGCTACCTCGGTACCAAACACCAATGGCATATGTGAACATCTCAATGAAACAGCTCTGTGGAGATTTCTGTGGCAAGACAGCAGATGTAACACTGAGTATTCAAACAAGTATGTCTTAAAATATTTTCTGATGAATATGGATGTAAAATAATCTCTGATAACATAGGCGTAACGCTGATATAACATCAGAACTAGATCCTCTTATAATACCATAGTTTATGAGTCAATAAGTCTGAATGTGGGACTATCTTGATATTTGAGACCAGACTTGGATCTTCATTATCAGTCACGTGACATAACTGACCAATCAACACAGGCGTTACACTGTCCGACTATGTATCACACTGGAGTCTATTATCTCGACACATGTTGGACACACTGATGAATTAAGTCCCTTGGCCTGTCAGGTCACGTGAACTCTCCTCCAAACCAGGAATTCTTCTGAAGATAATGTCACTTGAAGTAGTGTCTCTATCATCCGTGAAATCAGTGCTAGCAGTCACGAGGTGATGCCCAGAACAAGTTGAAGAGCATACATGGTTCAAATCACCCGCGCTATTACACATCTGAAAATCCATCAGCCAGTGAAAATGCGTGCTGTTGATTTTCAGCCAATCAGTAGGTAGTTTGGGCTGCGAAGACAGCTGCCGCGTGATTGCGTGCTTTATGTCGTAGCTCCTCCAGGCTCATGTCTCTAGGTTTTGCTGGGTGTGGCTGTTGTTGGGGGGTCGCTTCGGACACTGTGTGGATAATAATACGGCGTGTCTGTAATTTAGGAAATGACTTTGCAAGCAGGTACGATATTTGAGATATATTGTGTTAGTAGACATTAACGACGTTAACTGAACAAGCATATAACATTGATAAGATAAACAATCAAAATGATAATGGTGAATATAAAATATTACGATTTGGTACAATTTACGCTGCGCACTTGTGGCAGTATCGGATGAACGCTTTACATAAATTAAATGTGAATTTATTATTTCAGTTGAATTTACTGTTTCTGAAAAGTGTACTCACTTAATAAACCACTGGGGGTTCCGTAACGCATTGCCCAGGAGGGGTCGGTGTAGGGGCCAGCGCTGTACTGAGTGTAGGGTGTGGAGTTGTACGTGGAATATTCAGCTGCTGCAAAGAGAACATGAACATCATCAATGCCTGTGTGGCAGTGAACATATCGACATCACTGTCTGTGGCAGTGAACACATCGACATCAGTGTCTGTGGCAGTGAACATATCGACATCACTGTCTGTGACAGTGAACATATCGACATCACTGTCTGTGGCAGTGAACACATAAACAGTCAGTGATTCACTTAACACAGTGAAGACATCTATGATGCTGCTATCTCGAACATCGCTCATGAGACTGGTTACACGAGACTGCACCGTGCCTCAGTGTGCGACTTCCGGGTCTGTCCAAGTTTGCATGGACCACTCAGGTGCAGTTTGCTGCTTCGCTTTATCATAATTTCAGGACGACAGACAGTTCTAAATACAACATGAAATTGCAACGAAAAATGGATACACAAAGAATCTGAGCCTGCATGTGTCATCCGCGTACGTCAATCCAGTTACATGGATTATATTACCGGGTAAATTTGAATAAAACATTCACACATATTAAAAAGCACTGTAACAATATCACTAATCAAACTGATAACAAATAGATTATACAACATGTGTAAGCAACATTTGGTGTATTTTTTCATGTCTTGTATAAACATAAAAACCCTGAAGGTTTGCATTGGTGTATTTTAAATAACAATTCATGGGAATTAAAACGTCCTTTCATACTTTATGGTGGTTCCATTTTGTCGTTTACCGATAATATTTGTTTCAGTGAGTGTCGTGTTACCCTCTGAAATAATATTTTACCAACTCGTATCACAGTTGTTTGGCCATCTAAACGCAGTGCAACAGTGTGAGTGGACTCAATTTACAGTGTGATTGGTGTACGGCGGAGGGCATATTTGTCTCCGGGCTCGATTAATGGCAATACCATTATATTTTATACCGTCATATGATACCGTATCGCTCATCACTTGTTTGAAATCTCATCGTTATTGTTTCAGTCACTCATTGTTTCGTTTCCCGACAGATCCAACTTTTCGTAATTTCCCTCCTGCTGTTGCCAGCTCCAATGGCCTCAAAATCCAAGATGGCGGATCGTGCGTAAACATTAAAACAATTGCCCCGTGGGGTGAATGCAAACTAAAATCAATAATTGAATAATTTGTCGTCGCGAAAAAATCGTCAGGTTTAGGATACGTCATCTCTGTTTCATGTTAAAATAACAGATGGTTCGCCACGATACATACACGGGCAGGGGATGACAGCACCACCGTTCGAGTGTTTTCCTGAGCATTTAAATCATGTTTTCGGCCGCTAGGTGTTTCTCGCCCCGCGACACTATTATTTCTAACAACTCTACCTCGTTGACAGTTGAAAGCTCGTCGAAGAAACATAGCAGTGCTTATTTTGCCAACAGATCTCTCTTAATGAAATTTGGTAAATTGAGAACGGGGAATAATTGAATGCTTCTTCCCCATGGCCGTTCCCTGATTGGGTTTCGGATCATCACCGCTCGCATTTCATTGGCAACTGACAGGCGAAATTAGATAAAACCTTAACAATCAAGCCTATTTCCCTCCTCCATTCAAGCCCCACCACTCTAAATAATATTATTTCAATGTCATTATTTTTCGACGTGTTTTTGAGATCGACGCGTCCCGATAGCCTAAGACAATCGCGTTTTATCGCGAATTAATGGAGTCCCCAATTTAGAGCGAATACAGCAACAACGCGACAAGCTTGCTTCGCTAATTAATAGGAGAAAAGATTTGTAAACTAACAGGCCGCCGAAATTAGAGATGCTCTCGGGGGACCAATTATTGTAGTGGTGCTGTCCGTAACAATGACTGGTCCCCGCTATTAAGTGGAGCGATCGCGACATGACATGTCAAGCAGATTTTCGTATCCAAGCAGTTTGCTCCCCCGGGCTTGTGGCGCGTGGCTGTTGCAGAAGCCGCTGCTGTTACCAGTCCAATGCGTTCATATGTATCCCATAAAGTAGCCACTGTCAAGTGGTCAGTCTCTCCACAAACGCCAACCGGTCAGTTTGATCCTCGTTCTCAACATCAGCAACTTGGCTGAAGAAAACAGCAGTTTTCACGTTCGGCAGTGTAGAAAATATATCCATGTTAACTCTAAACATTTAAGCTAACCGCTCAAAAAGGAATATGATTCGATTAAGATTTGATACTGACGGCAACGATTCACACATGTAGCGCGTTATCATTACTAAAATCATTTTGGAATGGCGGGTCCCTGCTGACGTCATATAGCTTGCAAACGAGGCGCTAAACGAGATCTCGTGAGACATTTTAAACACTTTTACAGCTGTCGCCCAACTTTTCAATAAATTCTCATCTGCCTTTCTATATTCCCCGTGCAATAACTATTTTAGCTACTGCCACAACGTTTACACTTTAATCACAAAACAATCGGCTAATTTCGGCCCGGCTTCAAGGGTATCGCTTACATTTAAATTTTCCAGAGCACTGTACCACCATATGAATTTTGTCAGTAGGAAAGCTGACACCAAGCAAAGTTGATCTTCAGCGCCCCAGCCATTAATCATTACAAGCATGGCATGCACGAAAAACATGCGTTTTGCTACTCGTTGTTGGGACCATAGCTCCCTACAGGGTTATCCCACACCTGGGGGAAGGGCTTTTGAAAAGATCTACAAGCTGATTCTCATACAGAGCCCCATTAAGGTGATGTGCATGTATTTTTTGCCAGTCAATGGATCAATGTATCACTGAATACAGCCTCACAGAAAGCAATAGAATTACAATTCATGAAAATATGAAACTTTAATATTTCCACTTCGTTTTCATTATATTTGAAAAAAAAATGTAACAGATTTTGTGTCGCATTCAAGTTGAGAACTCTTTTAGAGTAAATTGGCGACTAATGTCACAGGCAAACGAGGAGGGTGGGGCTGCTGGCGGGTTTCAGCGTTGTGCTGTTGCTGAGTGAGGTGATGGGGAGGCGGGGGGACCCAGGGGAGCCGAGTGCATTAGACTGAATTACTCCGTAACTTCAGTCGATCTAAATCGACTTGGATGTTACTGGGAGTAGCGGTACACCAGAATCACTCAACTTTAATAGCTAAAGCGGCGATTGGAAGCATCTTTGACGATCTATTTGAGGGTTTTGATAAAGACATACATCATGCAGAATCGGGATCTCAATCGCCCGCAGTCCCTCAGTGGGGAAATAACAGGATCGTTCCCCGTTATGATTACAAGCAATTTATCCAATTGTCTGGTAATTGCATTAGCAAGACTCACAGGCCCTGCCTATTGCGAGGTATCCCAACAGGCCTGAGCGAGACTTGGCCGAGATTTACTGACATTATGCGAGATCCAGCATCAATTTAGTACAGCTCTCTTGCACTTTATTGCCCAGCTATCAGTAGTGGGGCGGGGGGCATTACAAGCCAGGCAAGCAATTTGTTTGAAGGGTTACAGAAAACAAGGCAAATGTTAATAAAATTGTCTGCCATGTGATTAGTTATATCCCAATATTGTAGCTCATATCATTCTCGCCGTGTCAAGGTCTGGGACGGTGGGACTGCTCCGAGGCGGGGAGAAGGTGTGGGTGTGGTGTCGGTTGTGGTCAAGCGTCATCTTGACCTCCCATAATGATTCGATGTACTGCTTGATTAAGTGTGCGCCTTTCATATGTACTTTCATAGGCTAGTTCAGTCATTGAGAATGTGTTTCTCAGATGGGTAACTTGTACCTAAATCCGTTTCACTATTGTGAATAGCGTCTGTATAAAACAATAGTTCATTCTCTCTCAGTGGTGACTACAGATCCCTGAACACTTACAAAATCTTGTTGCTTTGAGCAGTGAACACACGACACTCGACGCGGACACGTGCCTGCTGATATCATGCCCATTTGATACAGTTGATAACAATCACATGCACATAATCGCGGTGCCAATAATGGCAATCAGAAAGGGGCCTCGCAAACAGCAATCAAGGGCATCCGCCCGACCAATTTGAGACGATCGCGCGACCGATGCTGAAGTAACAATGGCCGACTGTCCTCGACTTAATCTCAATCCTGTAATATCCTGGGGGCTGCATGCTTAAGCCTCATTTAGGTAGCCTCTCTGTTGCGAGCAAGCATGGGCAATGGGCTTCTAATTCAATACATGATTCCATCTAATTGCTGACGAGGAACTGAGAGCGTTGTGCTGAAGGTTATACGATTAAGGCACGGAAAGCCTTAGATTTCCCCCCTATGGGATGGGCCGTAATGTGGTGTTTGGGCTACGGAGAAAGACCGTGTTTGATTTGTTGTTTGAGAGTCGGCTTTGAACTATGTCATATTGTGATTGGTTGACAAATAGAACACACATGTAATTGTATCATGTCTGGTTCTTGAAAGTTCGAACAAATACCTTAAAATGATTAATTTTGTTTGTAAACCGCGACACTAAAAGCCTTTCAAGCACTTTCAGGAATAAAATATAATTTGATTTTCATTCAGTGGCCATGACCTTCTCACTTCAGCAGGCGAGACAACGATTTTGTGTTCACCTCAGCACACGAGGGTAACATATCCCTGCGTTAAGATGATCCACAAACGCTAACTGAAACACGACCAGAACATAGGTAAACCCGGTCGCCATTAGATCTGCTTGTATCACGAAAGTTTAAAACTTTTGTTGAAACATGACGGCAGTCTGAAATCATCGAAATCTCGGGATCAACTCTAAAGATTGACAGTAACTGTACACCATTGACCAACCCTATCGTGACTACAGTCTTTAACATGTTGACATCTGGCTAGAAACAGTTCCAGCACACGAGCTACATACCAGGGACATTGCCGGTCTGATAGATTCCTCCGGGTACTTGGGGTAGAACAAGAGGTACAGAGCTGTTGACACCTGCCTGGCCTGTGTAGGTCGCTGTACTGTAGCTTATTGCGGGAGCTGAAAGTTAAAGTCACGGATTAGCTGCTGCTGCTGCTGAATAAAGCCACCAACATGTAAACAAACTCTTTCAATTACTTGTTGCATTTTATCGATTGTACGGAATCTGAAGCTGCATCAACACTTTTCCACCAACTAGTTATGTTTCAAAACAAGCACAAATGGAGCTGATACAAGAGCTCATGAGTTCGTCTACAGGTTACAGAGATCTAATTCATCGTACAGTTGTCTCAGACGGAAAGCTATACTATTCATTCATACCATTTCATTCAGTATCAGAGTGTCTTAAATCAAAACTGATTTGGAAACGATAGCGTCATATAAATACAAATTACCTGCAGCTTCTAGCATGCCATTCACACCCACACAATATCACCGACAGGAAGACTATACTCGTATATTTAATGGCATGTTGGATATTCGAATAGTTTTTGTGAATTACAAGATGTTGCATTGCAAGGAAAATACAAAAGAGATGAACAGAAGTCGTTGCTGCTGTGCGGGTAATACACGCTCAGTGTAATAGACGTGCTAGTCGTACGTAAGAGATACAAGAAAGCAGATCAAAGTAAATACAAGAATTGACTACCATGGGGGGAGTCTTTGTGAATACAATGAAATGACGACTGAAACCTTCCCCCAAAGAGTCAGTGATCCATAATCTCTTGTAGCAGGTATTGATGCCTGCTTTGGCAACACCCTGGTTATATCACTGAATAATGTATGGCCATCTCTGACTGTCGGACTAACAGCCGCAGGCAAGTGGATCATTGTGTATCTATTGTCAACGATAAGTCTTTCAGATGAGTAATTGACTACATCGAGATCGAAATAACTTCTACAGTGAAATGTACATAAGACTGACGATAGCCTGAATAAACTATTTTTATTTTGGGCTTTATGACATTAAATTCGAGAAGAAACAATTATATAAAAAATTGAACAGTTAAATATTGTAGATCGTATTGTTGATTTTGGAAATGTAACAAATTTCCTTATTTTAAAGGTTGCTGCACAAGGCCGCCGCACATGCTACAACCCGATTTCAAGTACTGAAATGAACATCTTTTAACTGCCTGCAATATGAAAGTCTTTTTTTAAAGTTCCAAATCGATTTTAAGCCTGACTTTTATCTCCTAAAATTACTTCAAAATGAAAGTGGGCTCAGAATAAAATAGGCCTGAAGTGTGGAAACTCCAGTATACAAGACTGTAGATCGCTGCGTGGTTCAGCACCCCCTGGCGGGCCTCAGACATGTGTGTGCACGTGCGATGTCGTCACTCAATAGAAAAATTAATTGCGATTCTGGTGATAAAGAGGGGTTTAAGTGAGAACCCGAAGTAACCCGAGAAGTGGTTAGAATTCGTTTTTGAAAATCGAACTAATAAATTTCGCTGCAAATTGGAAAGGATAATGTATAACAGTATAGCGTCTTTATGCCAGATGTAGAGGGCAATGAAGAATTATCTCCCTTTTCAGAACTCTCCCATAGGTGTTCAAACAAAAGATTGGATTATCGATAGGCCTACGGGACAAGCAACATAAAAACATTTCTCAGGAACTATTAAGTATGTGATCATATGGACAGGTTTTATATATACGAGCTCACTGCCAAGATGTCAAAAAACTATTAATTCTCAGTTACACTTTGACAAGTGTTTGGCGCCAGTAAATTGGCTGATACTGATAAGTAACCAACAATTAAGACATGTAGCAAGCAACCATTTCTTGGCACGTTAGCAATTTCGATGACATTGATTCCTGTTCACGAGGAATGGTGTCGAAATTTATCAGATTAGTGTTTGTTTGGACTGAGATCAGAACGCGTGGTGAGTCACCTATACAAGAATACCTGGCAGGGAAGAACGTGCTGGTAAATGAGAAGTTGGTTACAGTACTCAAGAACTGATCACCCCCTAGCGTGACCACTGCGCATTATGCGTGTCAGGGACTGAAATAATAGTAGGCCTCCATGGGTATCATCCGTGATAAACAAAACAGAGTGTATCATTTCAGGATTACCTTTGAAAGACATGTCGTAACAGATCAAATAATGTCGTGCACGTATCTTGTACAACAAATCACATGCTTATTCATGCAACATAACAAAATGTGACGGGAGTATATACAAATACATATCAATATATACATACAAAATTGCGTGCACAATATCAACCAATAAAACGAGCTGTAACAACAAGCGACGCTTACTTGAGAAGGTCTGTCCAATGGGCGGGAGCGGTGCATAAGTCTGACTGATGGGAGCTACCGTGGGTACCGGTTTGAGCTCAGTAAAAGTCGTGCTCCCAGAATTGTTTGGAGTCCCGGGCTTGGAGGGTGGGGAGGGGTTATTGTTGTTGATGTTGTTGTTGTTGGTAGTGATGTTATTGTTGTTGTTTGATGGTGAGGAGGAGGCGGCTGGGGTCACACTGGCTGCAACACGATACACTGCATGCAGGGTCATGCCACTCAAACGGGATGACGGGAGTACATGTACATTGCACTAGCTAACAATGTCAAGTCCACTACATTGCATTACAAATACACACCGCAGATCTCGTTCAACTTTCAATACCTTAATTTATCACCCTTATCAATGAAATTAACGTACGGAATGGATCTAAAACAGTAGTTACTAATCGATGTAATTCGCATTTGACATTTAGAATCAGAATTGGCTTGCTATAACAGATATGTTTTTATATGCAATTGAGTCATACGCCACATCATATAAATGTTAAGAATAATAAATATATAAATTATTAACACATAACGGTATTTATTTCCATAAGCGAGATCTGCAGTGTGTTGACTATATCATACCAAAATACAACACTACCAAACATAATCAGATAACAACATTGAACAGAAAGCATCACAAGCTATATTGGCTTGAACTAGCTACCACGTGAAAAGAAGGAGAGTTGTATTGGGACAGAAACAGCTTGGCCAACCTTGGGGACGATCCTGCTTCTTAATCGTGTCTAAGTGGGAAGCACTTGAAAACATTCAGATGACAAGTTTCTATCAATACATTTCCTTGCTAACCAATCATGCCATTGTCTCAACACACAAAGTCAGTTACAGCAACATTTGTCACCCTTGTTGGGTATTACACACAAATGAGGCAAATGAGCGGACTGACATCCAGGTATTGTTAAGGATATGCGGGCGCCCCTCCCACAAACTCTATGCGAATCATTTTGAAATAATAGCAAAGTCATTCAGATTTTTAATTATTTCTCTTGACAAAATTAATTATGCAGTCGCTGCTTCAAAATATGTATGCCACACGCTGCGTTATTCCCGAGACGAACTCATTACGATGGACACTTTCTGTGACATTATAGTCAACAAGAGTTACGGCCCCTGGTTCCGCTCTTCTGACATCGCGGACAGAAAAAAGCCAGTGCGTGACGAGAGGCGAGATTCTCGGCCACTCTCGCATTATCTCTTGCGATTGCCAATAAATCTCCTTTCATCTTTAATTGCTTACATCTTGATCAAATAGCGTTTCAGTTCACGATAGCACCAGGCAGAAGCAAAGTTGTCTGCGACTAATAAATGCAATTAGTTACAATTGATTCTTTATACGACGGTTTATATATGGCGCATGGAGATTTGGAATGAGCCATCGGCATGCGATGTGAACATCCGTCTCGGGGCTGATAAAGTTCGGCGACTGAGGAAACTGGGCCGTATTCTTAAAGTCTCTAGAAGACAGGCAATGTGACAAAGAGGGAAATCCTTTTAGAATGCACACATTGATTCGACGCCACACGCGGTCGGCATCTGTAATGCAGTATAATATGTACAATTTACGAAGAAGATAGCGTTTCAGTTGGACGGCGACCAGAGTTGGAGCACTTCTGTTATCTCAGGATCCTAACGAGTCTTTTTCAGCTTAATGCAATTTGTTTTCATCTATGGTAATTTACTTTGCCATACAGCAGTCATAGAGAAACTGATACCCAAATTAGGCGCTTGTTGGGTGAGGCACACTGTGAAAGTAAGAATAACAGGACCAGCACGTTTTTGGATGTTCGGTGGTCGATGATCTCCTGTCCGTGCGCTGGCTGTGTTTCCACAAGATATAGCTAATGGAACAGCCAATACAAATGGTGACTTAACATCAGCAGAGCTAGGACTCCCCCAAGTTGGCAAGCTGTTCTTTAGGCCCTTTTCTATTCGCTACGAAAATTATTATGATACGAAATTGAAATTTCAGGAAACGGCAAATAAAGCAATATTGGGTATGGTTATACCTTCAAAATTACTGGGAGGGGTACTGGCCGTCTGAATGTTGTCATTAGCAACAGGGGAGACAACTGGCTTAGCTTCCGATCCGGCAGGAACTGTGTTTATATGGGCAACTGTACCTCAAAGAAATTCAACACAAATATTCAAGCAACTAAAAAGAACGTGTTTTACATAAAACTTAAAATAATGGATTTCACAACATTTACACTAAAAAATGAATATGTGCACTTGAAAACAAGTCAAGATCAACAACATGCAAGGAGATGTAACTACCCATTCACTTCATGCCGTAACATCAGAACGAACCAAGGACCGAGAGAAAAACATATCTAATGCCAGAAATATTGCAAAGGCGCTAATTTGATTTTTGACGAGTTGGCTAGGTTTTTGGCGAGTTGGCTAGGTACGGATAGGCTTAGTGTAATTTTTGAGAGTCAGGACCTGGGTGAAAATACTTTCTGATATTAAGGCAATAAAGTTATACATCATCCCTTATTTTCTGGACATGCAATTCCTACATGACACAGACAATAATACGTACGCTCCATGACATCAAAACAGGGCTCACCTATTGCGGGACTATAAGCTCCACCGGCAGCGTTCTCGCTCGTGTTTCCTGAGTGCAGGTATTCCTGTTTGATTTCTGCTGAGGCTGGGTTAGCTCCAAACTGGCTACTATAAGGGGCGTGAACAGTCGTGAAAACTCCGTTCTGAAGTATCTCGGACTCCGTGCTGGCCTCTTCAGCTCGTGGTAGCTTGGCCGGCCGTTCGTACTCCCACATCTGAAGAGTGTTATCATTCTTTTAAAAACAGTTTAAAAATGTCAATCTAACACAGCAACATTTTTTACGTCTTTGTTTCGTATGCAGTGGAAACGCATTCAATGTGTGAACATTATTTATATAACGGACACAACTGACTTACTCCAATTCTGTTTTCACTGCTGCTCGCTCCCTCGTTACTGGCGATCCCATCCCGAGACCCGTTGTTTACTGAAATTACAAAAAAAGTTTTAATTATTGGCAACTGAGGCTGTTATTAAAATGTATAGTGAAATATGATATATTAATTGAGATGCCACTTGAAGTTCTTGCACTCAATGGCTTCCCATGGGTGACTAGGACCGAATAATCCCTATGATGTCAAAATTTTAAGGGTGAAGGTATTGTTGTGTTGATTTGCATAATCATGGAAGATGAGAGTTATTATTTCATGACTGCTAACGCCCAGTCAAAGAAAAAGGATATTGGAATTAGTTCAGGGTGAGCGAGTAATGTTTTCCTTCATTGCGAGTCTATGGGTGATTACCACATTTCTTTAATTGTTTTAAGAGTGTCGCCAATTTGCCTAGAACGGAGGATAACTTCCACTCCGATTGTTACAACAACCGCGAAGCAAACAGGAAACTGTCGTGAGAGAATCCCTAGCATGATTCAACCAAATAAATGGCCCTTTCTGGACTTCCAAACTACTTCCGGTCGAGGGGGGTAAGCACGCGCAGAAAACGAGTCCCAGAAACGCCTCTTGCTTAGTGCCCTCCACATGAAGTTTTGTAATTACTACTAATTTCCTTCTGTCCTGTAGATTACTCGCCCAGTCCCCAACGCAGTTAATAGAACTCCGTTAGGAACATCCTGTGCTCTATCGTGTCGCGTAATGTACACCATTTCGCCGGAAGTGAATTCAATAGATCGCTCCGCCATTGCTGAAGCCGATATTGCCAACGTCCTTTTGTAGGGAACGAAAATTAACAGCTTTGGATTTATGTCGGCAAAACTTTGCCCGCTTTGACGTTAAATAAGCATTCTGCTTGTTAACGCAAACTCCACAAAGCCCTGGAGCGACTTAAGCTCTCTCAACACGCTGATCGAGTCCAGACGTAACAGTTATTGATGGTTTTATTGACTGTAGCCACACAACACCATGGCATTCATGAAAAAGATTCTGGTGTCGTGAGGCTTTCAGAATCTCTTGTTTCCAATGCATTTCCCCTCTTGCACGCGAGCGTCAAGACAATAGAGCGCCAGTCAAACCCCAAGCAAAATTCTCGGCGGGCGGTTAGACGATGCTCTTAATTGACAAACGGATAAATTTCAAACCGATTAATAGCAGGAACCATACGACGTTTGATATGATAGACATTAGGCGACATGGCTACCCCCTCCACATGAATCCCACCGCCAAATATAGGATTATTCACGCTACCAACCCCCGCCCTCGGAGCTACTGGACACGGTGTTAAGTGGCACTTCGTTTCCCCAACAAGACGGCTATTAGTGTATACAGACACTTGAGAATACTTGGGACAACTATTGACCAGTGTATCAATATAGGACCCTTGGTCTATCTAGCTCCCGTGGAGATCGCAACATTGCGTGGCACAGAAAACACTATTGGTTGCGTTGGCGAAACATGCACCAGCGACCTCTTTCAGGACTATGCAATCGGTCAGACGTGGACGAAGTGTCATGTATGTCAACCTCTCATTTACTACAAGGCCCAACTATAGTGATTCTGCGGGTGTGTTTACTGAGCCGAAATATATTTCACTTTACGATAAAAAGTGAGCGTACGTTTCTACATCTTGAGCGTCATAAAGATAACTCCTGTCAGAATGTGTGGATGACGAAGGTAGTAAAGTCACTGGTGGGTACAGGGAAGTACATGATGTTTGTCTGGGACGTGTCATGGAACGACTCAAGAATGAGCTAACAAGACCTCAAACATATAAGATGTAAATATTACGACTTTTTGACAGCACATCTACCCAGCTGAGCGAAGCCGGGCGGAACCTCGCACTAAACGTCCTTGCTCGTAACTCTCCACTACGTTGCCCCCTGCTCGCGAGAACACCGCTCTCATGCAGGATATTCTCAACTGCTCATTTGCTAGTGCTGTGAAAAGCAAAGACACAGCCAGTTTATACCTGACCCCCTGTCGAGGATTTTCCTCTATCTTACAAAGAGACATGATTTCCCACTATCGCGCTTTCACGTTAGATCCTATCGGAAATGGGGTTTCCTCACTGAAGTGCACTTAGTCGAATAACAACCATTTATAGTAGGCGCCGTATAAAGCGAGCACTGCCAACTAGCCCCGCGACTGCTTTATGCCGTGAAGCATTAATTAACGACTGTATTGGAAGCAGAGAAGCAGAATAAATAAGTTTCTATGGACTAGATTCAACGTGTTTTCTCCTATCCTTACAAGCGAGAGAGACCAATTGGCGGGAAGCTTTTTCTCCGATGCCTTCAATGGCGGTGCTGACGATTCATTCTCACCTTCCAAATTGAAAGTGATAGCGAATTAAAGCTCAATAAATTCCATTCTTTACAGTTACTCGGCAAAAACACGTCTGTCTCGCAAGAAATGTATTTCAGCGTTGATGGAGAGCAGGCGACGATGTCAAACTTCACGTGCGGTACAATGGCGGAAGCGCGTGCAGTGTTGATCGTCTGCCACAGTGCACGCGCGGCGGTGTTGGGAGAGCGAGCAGCCGGCTAACATGGGAACATGTTGTACGAAGGGGAGATGACAGAATGTACAAATTTTGTTTGATGTACGGTTGGCTGCTTCTTTAAGCGTTTTGCTTCATGAGTGGGTCTGCACTTCGCCACACATCACTGGTTATCTTAGCGCGGGGCAAAAAGGGATAGACCCCAGCACAGAGCTTCTATGTGAGCACATACCCTATTGCGGCTTCAACAGAGTATCGAACTCGCGGCTCTTAAACGTCGGCGAACACATTTCTTTGAACCATGAAAAGAGAATCAATATATTATTACGAGTGTGTGTATATACAAGGTTTAGCCTCGACATTGGCAAACAGCTTGTATGGGTAATAAGCCGCCACAAATGCATCGTCGTGTACGACAAGAGCTGCGTGAACTCCGGCAAACACACACCGTTTACACAACACCAACCCTCAAGTGGGCAGACTTAAGATAACTGTTGGGTCACGCCCCGTGGCATCATGAATGTCTTTAATAGACGCTCGCAAATACTGAAGAGCAATACCCTGCTTGAACACATTCACTTTCCTATACAATAAGGTAACCCCTCTCTCATCAATATCCGTTCTGGTGTTGTTGATTTAAAAAATGAGAGCAGAGTGGAACATGTAAACATTATATTTCTCCCTCTGCAGACACGTGTTAGCAAACACAAGCGTCGGACAGCGAGCAGTTGCACATAGCGGAGAGCAACGAAGCAAATAATTGCAAGTTGATGCATACGTCATACCCAATGATGACAACATGATACACATCATATTGAAGTATGCATCATGGTTGTTGCGATGCAGCATATGCTTCTGGTGGCCATTTCATCTTCATGCAAGTCTTGTTTGGGAATCCAGAACCTTTTCTAGAAGAAGTAATAAGAATCTACGAGGTTTATGAAATATGAGTTCCGTTTACTGGTCTTACAGCTATGATATATATAATGAGAAAACGGCTATAATATATCACGAGAAAATGTGTCGGCCAAATCCCTTTGATATCAGACCAGGGCACTATTCCATAGACTGCCTTTTGGATGTGGAAGGGACTCGCCGGGTTCGTGGCCCAATCCGACAGTTAGTTACAGTGACAGCAATAGAACCACAATGGAATACTCTCTGTCATGTACAATAGTCACCAGACTCCCTCAAACAGTTAACGAGGTATCGGACAATCCGACCCCTGATGGCCTATGGAAACATTGATTCGTCCCCCGCTGGGCCAATGGCCTTCAATGTGCCTTCCGTCGCTTGGTCATCGGGGTGTCAGGTTTCCACCGTAGGGACCAAACGCACTCTACCTGTCCGACAGGTGACGTTTGAAGTTAATTGACCATTTCAGTATTGGTACCGAGGCTCGGCCAGCGTACACACACGTTACATCCAAGACAGCGAGCATTTAGAACATCCATTACAACTCATCTGAGGACAACTCTCGTCCACGTTTGCTTGTCGGCCTTTCAAGCGAAATAAATAATTCAGATGTTGCTTTCACAATCTCCGAGTCAATTTTCGTGATTAAATCGCCGTTAAACTCTCTCTCTCTCTCTCCTCGGATCCACCTCCTGTGAGATGGGGGACAAGCGGCAAACAATGCTACAACACAAACTATTATTTATTCATGCTGCTCGAGAGTTAGAAAATTGGGCCACACCCAGTGGTGTTGGGGGTCACTGATTTCACGACACTACAAGACCTGATAAACTTTAAAGCAACAAATTTAAACATCCCATTTTAACTTGAAAACGGACACAAAACAAAGCGCTAATACCCCAAATAATGATAAAAAAAAATCCAATTTATTTAATCAGATATTGAATTAATTCTAAGATATGAAACTCGGAAATTGATTTTCAATTTCTTCATACGTTTAAATTTCACCAAGAATTCGATACAAATCGACATTAAATTTTCAGAATTTTACAAGCACGTCTAAAAGCGGTTTAATGTGTCTGGCTGAATGCCAGGTTTGAGATTACGGTTCTGAAATAGCCTTGTATCATTTCGAATACCCTGAGAATTAGTATTGTTTTACTGGATCATTTTCACTAACACCTGATCCCCAATGTTAAACGGCGTGGTGCGCGCGGCTGCCGTGGCATATCGCGATACCCCCGCGTGCCGATACCGGTGTTAAGTGTGGGCCAGCCATACAGCTGTGAAAATGTCACCGATTTCAGAAATATATATCGGACAAGGATCCACAGTGTAATCTTTAATATCGTGTTTTAGCAGTCACGCGCGTAATTCCTTTAAGCTAGAGTGCGGAAACTCCATGCAATGGCGATAAAATACATTTTAATAATTGAAACTATTTTGAGAAAGGAAGTGTGAAGGATGTTTTCAAATCACGACATACAACGATAAAGTGAAGCGTGATATGCCACGTGACGTGTCGTAGCTACCAAGCTAAGCACTAAGTTAACCCGTATTTACGAGTGTTCAAAGTAACGCAGGGTAGCTATATTAACATGTCTACACGCTTACAAACACATACATACTTCTCCAAATGACCCCTATTTTGAACCGATGACTCATGGTATTAAATCATGTAAGCCGCATTGTCACAATAAATAACCTCATATTTCGGGTTATTTAAAAATATTTAAAAATCACTTTTCAAACCAAATATGAACACACGGAAACGTAAGAGACGTTCGTGTTTATACAACTCGTACTTCTTTCAGAAACACATACCATGTACATTGTTGAAATAAGGACAGGGCAAGGATGGGTGAGAGGGACACGTAGCGGACTACTAACACTAATGTAAGTGCCTGATTTGAACACGCACTTGGTCACCCCACACTATATTGGATGGGACACGTGTATTAAATCCCCATTTTGAAGTTCAGAGAAATGGAGTGAATGACTTAAGTGCCAGGAACGCTCCGGTATTGCCTGAAGGGAGACTTTTATTTCACCGTTTTATAAAACACTTCTTTTTCGAAAATTTTGCAGGCTCATTATCAGACCATAAAAAGACACACGCTCTATATTTTCTATCAGATGAAACTACGATACACGATATATAAATCAACGTAACGAAAAGGAAAAAATATATGTATATCATGTAAGATAAACCTGTTCACCTTAAAGTCGGATTGAATATTTGCTTTATTCCCATGATGTCACATCCAAACCCATATACAGCTGTAACCAGGAAGGTGAAAGCTGGACAAAGCCCTATCGGAGATGTGCCTGGATGTGAAATACTAAACGTTTACTGCTATAACTGCAATCAAACTCAAGTTGGAGCTAACCTTGTTCATTGTCGCCTTTCCTCTTAGCCGTCGTAGGGGTGTTGAGTATGCCGCTGATTGTGTAGCCACCCCCAGATGAACGCTGAATGATGTCCCCGTTAGGCGACGTTGTGGGCTGGCCACTCTCTCCTAAACCGTTCGGACTCGACTGACCACTCGGAGACATTTTAGCTTTCTCCGCTGCGCGATTCCGCACAATCCTAAAAAACAAAACGTAAACAAATTAGACAATAAGAATATATGGCTTTCATAATATCAACAGAACACCATAAGTTAAAAAAAGCACAATGCATCTGGGACTTAACAATCTACAGTTGCATGGTGATCTGTTTTATAGGTAAAAGATAGGTAACTCCCAGTACGGAACAAACATCAAACACCTTTACAATGATTGTTTGTTAATCGTTTACAAATGTTTGTATAAAGCTTTGATCTTTGTAATATATTTTAAGGGTACTTGATTCAATCTGCCGCATGTCGTGCATAAGAGCAAATGGTTTCTGTCGGTGTTAAGAACCCAGACATATCCATCTTCCATACAGTATCCAATAAACAATCGAATCGCTGAGGAAGATTCATATATCATGTTTTCAGGGGTTCACCAAATGTATGGAATACTTGACAGGTCTCATGCACAATAACGGAATATCGATTGAAAATTGTTTTCAATGAACTTGATGAGAAATACCTACCCTTTGATCTTAATGTTGAAAGACAGACAAATGTAAATATTAGTTTTTCTGTTACGTAATGTTGCATCACGAGTGAAATGTACATCGACTGTAACCGTGACGACAGTCTGTGTAAACACACACTACTTTTTCCCAAGTGTTAAGAGTGACTGGAGTATGATAATACCACAAACATTTTCTCTGTAAAATATATGACTTGGATAATGCAACGCAGATATCAACACCAGGGCTACCCATTGAACTATCATCAATTTTACAGGAAGCCGACATTCTCTGTAAGGCGCTTCCATCAGGCTATGGGATGGATATTCAACCTCGAGCAATTGGATAACAGCATGTTTGTATTTCAAACACCGTTCAAAAGCAACAGTTTTTTATAACATAATTGTCAATGCATTAAAAGACCAGATATATTTTCTTTGACTTTGTTTACGTGTTAAATGCATCAACCGTGTTGATGGAATAGCTCGACAACTCAAACATCGTCTCCTCTAACATATGTTTGGGAAGAGAGCTTAAACGTTGCTTAAACGCTTACAGAATCTCCCGCTGATACAAGCTGTGCCCAAGTCATCTATATTTCATGTTTCATTACAATGAGGTATTCTGCGTCATTGCAAAAAACATATGTTTAGTGGCGAAAATTGCAACGGAGGAAGCAAAATATATTAACCTTGATTCCACACAACACCTTCATGGCAGTGCTATGTAGAAACATGTTTTCCACGCGTTCGGGGCATTATAATGGCTTGCAGGGACCTCTGTATATACAGAAAGGGCCTGGAGTTGCTGGGGAAATCGACAACCAGATCCGTCAAAATCAAATGCTCACATGACCTCTGACCTGTGCAACCTAAACAGGTGTAACTAAGGAGAGGAGTGGGGTCCTCGTTTGGAAATGTGTTTCGGCTTTTAAGATTAAAATTCCCTACGGAAGACTGTATGATTGATGAGTGTCAAGCCGAATCACATTAAAACAACCTCGTTTCTCTGATGAACTTCCAATGCTTTCCTCGAGAGACGTGAAACCTAAAACAATTCAATCTTACCACTTTTTATTAAACTAAAAATACGTTCCTTGTTCACTGGCAATTTAGAAATCCAAACTGTAAAGTAAACTATTGTATGTACCTTTAGCTGACAGCCAGGTACAACAGTTATACAACCTATTATACTGTCATTATCCTCCACCAAGCTGACGTGGACAAACTAAACACTGCCATCAGATGTTCCAGGCTTTGATCTTATATCAAATGTGCCAAATCGTTTAGAATTGTAACGACAGAAATAAGATAAGAAATGTATTTTAGCGTAGCCTATAAAATCCCCAAGAAACATGTGATTTTGCTAAATGGGACATGAAAAGTGCCACTGGGATGTATTCGATGTTGAAGTGGAGAGTTGCCCCTCGCCACAAGGGAGCTCTTTAAAATGTACGTCAGAAAAGTGCTTGGTGTGAAAGCATTTTGTTTCCAGCGTTGCAGCTTCAACGTATTCATATGGCTGCTAAAGCGTTTAAGGTGATGTTGATGAGGTAGCAACACTCTCCAGTTGTCGTTGTAAAGTTCTTTCAGGAAGCTGGTTATAACATTGAAATATCTGATGAATTTTAAATTGATATGAAATTATTCCGCTTGGCGCTTAACTAGATATACTGTATGTGCTGTGCCAAGATTTACAATAACTCGTTACGACTATGTGGCAGTTGATGCGATGATGATAGTTAATATTAATGCAGACTGATGAAACAAATCACAAGGGAAGAATTAACATGGAAAATTATTCATTAACATAAAACCGTTTGAAAACCTGCCAAAAAGAATATTTTCTTCATAAATTGCCTTTTTCACGTATATTCATAACAACATTCCCATCGGCTTAATAATGAATAATAAAGTTATTACTTTAAAATCGACAATTTACACGTGCACAGCTAACGTTTATCTGATCAAGACGCACGAGTTGTGTCTCATTGTCAGAGCATCCAAGAAACGTAAGAAATATAGACTTGTAAATCAACCAGCCTCGCTTGTAAAGTGTATTGGTAATCACCATTTACCATTAACAAAGCTGCTTCAGTTGCATTGAAACTTTGGGTTGGGGCGGTGATATGTTCCAAAATAATCCGAAACATTTAGTATCTACACTCTGAAGTCATTAAACAGAATATGCCATTGGAACTGTCTGTTACGGTATTGTGTTACTTACAAACTAGGGTATAAAGTGTTACTTACAGACTAGGGTATAAAGTGTTACTTACAGACTAGGGTATAAAGCACTTCGTTTCATCGCACGTCAACGTATACGTATACGTACCATAATGATGTTTTAATAAACAATATACTAGTATCAACTTATATTGGGAATAGGATGATGTAATGTTCAAACGAAATAAAGAGTCCATTGTTTTAGGCGCTCCCTGAACAGAGGTTGGACCGGTCTGTTTGGTCTCTCATAATACATGTTCTGCCTGGTCTGCCGGGTGTGGGTGTGTGGGTGCGGAGAAGGTCCGCTGATTGACGTGTGATGCCCTAGCACCGGCCTAGTTCGGGGTATGTGTAATGCTACCTATTGCCGGACTCTGCTATGTTGTTACGACACGCGAAGCTACACCTGAGACCCGTGTGTGTAGTGCGATACGTTTCCGGAGTTCACTGGGGACTTTGAGAAATTAAATTTAATATATCAATAGCAAAGTATTTTCACACAAGTCAATTTATACTATCTTCCTTAAAAACGCAATCAAGGATGAAACTTGATAAATAAATAAATATGTTATAAGTTCGTAAAATAACTTTTGGCGAACGGTATTCCATCCCTGAACTGTTAACGAAAATAAACTGAAATTATTCTAAATTAAAATTTGTTAAAATTTTATTTGTTCAGCTTGAAGTATTTTTGCCAGAGTCTGTAATAATTAATACTGTCTACAATACCGACATTCCCCGGTGTACCATCACTGGCAGGGTATTGTTTCAGGGTCAAATATTGGTATTTTCTCAGTAGGTCGTTAAACTGTCCAAACTACTGGTGTCGGTTTATCAAAGATTGCCGGAGACAATGTGAACCACAGACTGTTGCATGGTGCCATGACGACTGGTACCGTCGACAGATTTCACTCACTTGCTGGAGAGCCAGGTTGCTTGCCGTTATGAATACCTCTTCTAGATAATCGGAGAGCATTTGAAAAATTCATCAGTGCATAGCCCGAAGTCTTTAATCTTTGTGTCATCTGGCTGGGATTAACTTAACCCACAATAATTCATAGTCGTAATGAAATAATTGGTGCTACCATGTGCAAGGCGGAAACACTATAGCGCCTAATTTGGAGGACGATGAACGGTACAAATTTATCTCAGCTATTTGAAGAGTTGTAAATTTAACTTTCTTGACTAAAGAGCAATTAAAATGTACCTTAACGACGGGCTACTGGCACAATGTTCACATTGCTGATGACAAAATATTGCCTCACAAATGCAAGAGTTACGCGACGGTTTCTGCTAGATTTCATCTCTTATACTCGTCCATTGTTGCATTTAGAGAGCGTGTTAAACCGATCGAGAACAAATGTTCAAATATTCCTGCAGAGCGATGGGCAGAACTCATGCGGAATGGTTCAATTAACTTGATAGAAATTTAAGAACGAACAAATTCGGGGCAATGTATTTGTGTCGGCCCATATGGGGTGTTGCCGTGTGGGTATCGGCCAGATATGGCTGCAGTACCGGTCTGTACATCTTGCCACTGACCGGCACATTCGACCAAACCACCAACTAAACGTCCGCATAAAGACACGCAACGGTTGACGACTGCGATGGCGAGAAGACGGAGAAACAGAGCACCAGATGGCTTATCGGGAGAATGTTCTGCTTCAGTAAAACTCTATGGCATTTCAACTCTCGACCAGGCATTTGGGTATGCCATCGAGTCAAGACATTAATTAAACACTCCTAATACCACCCTCCACTTCTGGCAATCATCGGATACCGCGGGATCGAACTCAGTCTTCCAAGGCGACATAATCACCGTGTGGAACCAGTTTCCCGATCTACCCTGTGTTCGAGGCATCGAGTCAGCACGACCTGCTTTCTTTGGATGAGATCGGGGGCAATTTGGACAAATAGAATGAAATTTCGCGATTCGCTGGCTATTCTCACATGCTCGTGAAATATTACAACACATATCCTTTGTAGTTTTCTGGGTCCTTTGGGAGTTACACCGGAGTCAAATTATGTATATGATATTTGTGACTCGAAGAACATCAGTGTAAATAATACCAACGTTATCGGTCGGTCACGTATTAAAGCCCAGCCACAACATGTATATATGCATGAGCATGGTGCTATCACCCTATCGCCTGGTAATAATACATGCAATCACACCATATGGTCAGGGCAAAACAATTACGGCGATCAAGCAAATCGGTATACATGCGAAGTGTTAAATGATAATTTCTGAAAAAAACCCGATTATCTTTTTTTCAGATTTCTTTCAAGGGTTGAACATATAACGACAACAATGAGATTAGCTTCGGCATGAGACAACTACTATTGAAGACATCATTCTGACAGTCATGGAACCCGAAACCAGCGCTTTCCTACCTCTAAGCTATTTATGTTTTCACAGACACAAATTGCTTTAGAAAATGAAGATGAATTATTTTCTACCATCGATTCTCTTTTCCAAGTAAAATAGTTTTTCGTTCTTTCGGCAGCTGGGGTAGCCCTCAGCCGGGTTACAAAACGCGTGAATCATAGCTCTACCGACGGTCATCATAATGGACCGAGAGGAAATGACAAAATTATTATTCCTTTGGCGAAAATTGATTTTAAAGGCATCATTTGTGTCGCAGGCGTTCATTCCCCTTCCAACTAGTTGTTTGATATTCTTTAATGTGAATTCATCGTCCCGTCTTAATTATCATTAGCCCCGAAGGGTATACATTAGTTAAAGAGAGTTTGAATTGGCCAAGAAAAAGAGCGATATTAGCAGCAGCGGACACGGTGCGGGCAAGGGGCGTGGCGTTGTCAGTGGTCCGAGTGGTACTTGACCGTTCTATCTTCAACACTTCTATATCTCATATCACACGACATGTGACGGCAATTAAAACAGATTTCAACTTAAGAAACATCAGTGAAAATTAGCGAGGATGCCGGCAAAACTTGAACCACGATTAGCTGGGATGCCTCACGCTTCTCTCCTTGCATAACAATGTTCCCCATAGAGAGACGACAAACCACGTGTTCAGCACTTATGCGTGTGTTTATTTGTTTAATTACACTTGAAATAGATATTTCTGAAATCGACAAGTTTGTATTGCTGTCAATTACCCTTGCTAACGATGGTGAAAACACCCGAGCCATTTGCGGCGTAAAACTAAAGAATGATTTCCCTCTCTGTCTGACAAAGCCAAAGCATGGTAGGTCGATCATCTAAGTACATTTAGCTACTACAAGCCCACTTAATGAAGCGTGGTCTGATGTCGGGACTGTCCATTTGTTTAAAACCTGACCATCATTGTGGAAAATATGATCGCGTGAGATGGCGGGGTGTACACGCGATAGTATCTACGTTTCTCGTGAGAAAGGATGAGGGTTTTCGCTTTTAAATGCTCGCATTTTAGATGTCCCCAGAATCAGTCTTTTGTTTCCAGCACTAAAACGCATTAAAGCTAACACACTTTAAAACACCGTTTAAGACTTTATGAAATAGACATGTCTTCACGGTCAGAAAGCCTGAGTCACCTGTGACGGTCCTACTCGAAGCCCAACAATGACCAGCGACGATGATGTCTTTGTCGACATGGGCGCACATGAGGCTCGGAAACCTCATCGCTATTAAACTGAGGGGGGACATGGGAACAAATGGGAGGGTTTTGTACTTCACGCCAGGGGTCTGTCTTTATAATAACTTTTAACTGTGCCCCACGACTAGCGGCCACACAGAGCAGGAGAGGTCCTAGATTTACTCTACTGTCAGACCGAATGATTCTTGTTTCAGCCCGAATTATAGACCGCTGCTTTTATAGCCCTCTCGGATTGGAAGCTGGCTCCCCGCGTTAGTTTAACACCGAGCTCGTAGCAGCGATTATCACTGGCTTAGCGGGAAGCGACGTTGTTTTTCGTCCTCTCCACGAACTGCCAGCAATCGTTAAAGATTGATAAGTGTATTTCGAGGCAAGCATATGAAGCCAGAGAGTGTAAAAAAACATTAAAACTTGAGATGTGAGGGGGGTCATGCTACGATGGCCCGCTGAATAGACGGGAGGGGTTTGGGGGACATCAGACGGGTAGGCTGAAAGGCTGACCAACATCACAGAACACTGCCTAATCCGTGATCAGTGTAGGACAGAGGAACGGGTTCAGGTACGCCCAGGATGGGTGTCCACAGAGGGTCATTGGACACAGCTTCTTTTTGTCAGTACCTAATTTTGAACAAAGAGATGAGAAGTGTTGTGTGTGTTGAGTATTAGAGAGTCAGTGTGTTAGTTACAGCGGATCTATTATAAACAACACAATATCGCGGAGTCCATCGATTGATGAAAGGGGTATATATACGACAGCTGGGTCTGTCAGTCAATACACAGTTTGTATTTGTACTTGGCTTCTAGGCCGGCAGTGATTCACCAATGACTTGTCGATGATAAAACGATTACCGTTCCTCTGCTACACCTGCAGCCTTGTCTTACATGAGGTTATTATCGAACGTCGTTTGGCTAGTTGTTGCCAAAACATACTGACATCCAATCCGACCATTCGTCAATACCCGTCTGTGTTGTAGATCAATATTTGTAAAATGTCCGAAGAAGAATAGAAAATTTAAGCAAAGCTAAAACTCTATCTGTCTGCATTCAAGACGCCTATTGTTTGACGGTTTGACATGTGTCTATATTGCATGTTCACAGTTTTCAGCCGAACCCATTCCCACTTGAGAAATGTCATAACACTTGACTTAAATCCCTGAGTCATGGAGCCCCCCAAATCAGAAACCTGTAAGTACACCCCAGGACCAAGTGTTCGACCCTGGCTTGCGTGTGGCAGACCGTTCTTTTCCCTTCAGCCGATAACTGCAGGCTTTTTTCAATACCCGGTCTATTGTTCGTGCTGTAACGTGTTTTCTAGATTAATGCTTTTTCGAGAGACCGTCCAGGCCAGTATGAACCTATGAAGTGTCGGTTTCAAGTAATAGTGACACTTAAGACTCTGTTGCAAACTGAAACCCATTCCAGGAAAGGGCCGTACCCAACTGCTTCTGTCTGGGGGTCGTGTAAGCCCCTGAAGTGCTCATTGCCTGACCGTGCCACTGTCCCCTGAGTCAGAGACAAGCCTGTCATAGCACAAGTGACATCTTTGTCGACCTTCGTCATAAAGCAACCGTTGAAGAAATTGGAACGTTCTTTTAGAAAAGATGTATTCAAATGTCATATACAATCACAAACCAACAAACCAGAAATAAAACAAACTGGAATCCAAACTGTGTCCAACATTAGTGTTGTTTATTTCATTTCGAACTGATATAGACATCTTCGGGCATAACTAACTGGTTACGGATGTTGGTGTCCGTCTCGGGCCACAGTGTTTAACTTCTAGATGATTGTACGTATTCCTACCAAACTGTTTTCGTGCCTAAGCACTTTGAAATACTGTTGACAAAAAGCTAAAAATCAGGCCGAGGGTATTGATTTCGACACATTTGTTTTCTTTTTGACATGAAGTTATCGATTTCCACGTTTCAACCATCAATAACCACCTGCCATGGCAGAGTGTAAGACCAGGCAACACCTGACTTGCCATACAGTAAGTCCGGTACATTAAACCACGACCTGACTTCTCCTTAACACGTACTGGCACGAGATGAGGACATTCTAGCAGGCAACAAGTCCCCAGATGGGCCTACAGACAGAACATGAGGCAGTACCTTAGACCGCTCTACCATGTGGTTCTCGGCAGATTGCTTAAATCTCAAAGACGTTTTTGACAGATCTTACAAAAACTTGTGTTAGTGTGTTTTATTGTCCCGGCCCCTGTGGAGGATATCTGCGGATGATTTAAACGTGTCTGTGGTTAGCCTGATAAAAACGTTATCTATGTGATGTACGTACATGAGTCCATATAAAGATAGTGTATGTAGGATATTTTTAATCTGTGTCATCGATGAATGGAACACATCAGTTGAACACACAGAGACGTTCTGAGGACACTGAGCGGAGATTATGATACTTGTCTGTATACATGATTTGAACGATGTCGATAGAATGAAGGTTTGGGATATGGCAGGAAACGCCGTGAGCGGGTTGTCTATTGCATGCTTATTTCCCTGATTGTTTCCATGATACAGCATACGTCTCAGGCAAAACATGAAATAGAGTAGCCATGTACGCCAGTGATATCACGCCGTCCTTCTGACCAGTGATAGTGATCGGGAAATAGACAACACTTGACATGAAACATACAACCTGATACTATACGATATAGACAGCATGGACAAACGGATACTCTCGGGAAATCTCTGATTATAGCGGGCTCGATATCACAGTATTGATTTTACCATGCAGTCTTACATGATCTCGCAATTGTAGAGCTTGTACGAAAACACCCAGACAATTCAGACTTGTTCTTCAAACTCCAAAATCAAAGCAACCAAATGAGCTTGTGGTATTGCTTCATTCAAGAAAAGTCATTTACATTTCTTCTACTAAGCTCAAGTATCGATTTAACTTTTGAATTTCGCGCCCAATAATCTTCAGAGATTTCCTGTAATTTGATTGGCCACTCACCTGTTTATTGAACTAACACTGGGCACGTTGTCCTGGGAACACACCCCCTCTGTAAGTAACCTATCTCGGATCTCCCAGGCGAACATGGTGGGGTTGTCTTGCTTGTAGCGTGTTATGGCATCAACAACTTTTGGGGTCGCCACTTTGGGCTTACTGCCGCCGATAACTCCAGGTTTGATGGAACCTGTCTCGTAATACCTGCAAAATATGTCCAGATACATTAATATGATGCGACTGGAATGTCGAGATAGACACAACACAACAACGCGTACTCTTCATCAGAAATATGAACACTGACCTATGTCTGCTGGCTTTGAATGGATCAGGAACAACTTCAATGTATTCACAGTTGCTCACTATACATGTATTACTTCTCTCACTATACATGTATTCCTTCCTGATGGAATACAATACAATTTCCTCCTCTTCTATACCCGGTAGTTTGTAGACGTTAAATGATAGGTGTGGGGGTGGGGTGGGGGTGTGGTAGGGTGGAAAGGAGTAAGGGTTTGAGGAAGTCGGGAATAACATTTCCTGAGATGAAAGAGTCCAGGTACTATATAAAAACAAACACGTGTCTATTTTATTTTATATTTGTTTTTGAATGTATTTAAGACTTTGAAGTTTAATTTTACAAACACCACATATATTTGGTAAGAAAGCATGCCAGCTATACTGAGTTTACAAGGTTCGGTTATATTACACTCAAGAATAATGCTTGGTCGAACATCACTGTGGTAGTAAAGTAATCTCACATATTAGCATAAATTTCAAGCTTAATTGACAGTCTGTTTTTGTACAACATTTTTTCCACACGCGTTGTGGATCATTTTACAAGCGACAAGATGCTTTCATGCCTGCCTAGGATATGCTTTAATGATGTGAAACATGCACTTGTAACTACCTGATATGTTGTACGTCGTTTCAGTTTTAATAGACGTACATGTTACATGCTTTAGTCAACACGTAATACGCATCAATTGACGGTGAAGCTTTTTATAGAGTAATAACTCAGATTCGAACCAATGGCACATTTTATGTGAGCTATAACTCAGAATGTCTCGTACAGCGTTCATACTGCAGGCGCGGGGGCTTGTCATTTCCAATTAAACCTCGTAACACTACCCTGACAGAGCAACAGACATCAATACAGCTGAAATGTGATACACAAATAAATAAACAGAGGAGAAAATTAACAGAAATCGTCAGAATCGAATTTCTTGAAAACAAATCACGCCCGATCAGATTATGAGAATTTGCCTTTTTCCTGAGCCCCGTTCAATCGATAGTCAAACATGGTACCATACAATCTAATCTATCGGTTCATCATGAGCTGCGTGTATTTAACGTTAGAGAATAATGAAGACTCAGTGTTGATGCTAGACTAAAACGGGGCGGGCAAAGACAATATATAGTTGTTGAAATGAATAGCTAGCTTGGCGCCACACAAGACAAACTTGCAGCTGTTACGCTTTCTGTCCGGCATTCAAAACTACTAACTAGGAAACTCGCAAAGTTTGTCGATAAACTAGAAAATGAAGTAAAAGCATTCTTGCCGGGGGCGATGGAGGGATCTATTGCCAAGAGTCCACTAACAATAAAGTTCATTACTAAACAACGGAATCGATAAATTGTTTGAAGGATGGAGGCGGTGTCAGTGTACAGTTCGTGTCGTATGACATGTCAAACCCTCTGTCTGGGAAAATATACAACAAACACTGAATCGTATCCTGTCATCTGAAAATTGTTCAGATTAGAAATATCGAGATAAGATAATTTATACCTGATAAATTATATGTTAAGTTGCTGAGATTAATTCATGAGATTTAGTGTTTGAGGACCCGTTGACATGATCCCGACCAAAGCAACATATTCATGCAGTTCACTGCGAACATAGCAGAAACAAATATCACATTACACGGTAGCGGCCTTATTCATATTCATTTAATATCACGTTGTAATCTGCACACATCTGATGCTCCAACAGCTGGGTGAATATATATATTTTCCAATAATGTTGTTCATTAACAGGTTCGTTAAAAGCGTCTACATCAGCATACAATGCGCGCACCCTTGTAATTCGAATGGTATTTGTAGCGACGCAAGTATTAGGGTCCGGGCTGTTGAGTAAACCGCAGCTACATCGGATATTAATCTCATTCAGAAAATGATATTTCCAAGTTGAATGCATCGAGATTTAATGTAGCTGAGAATGAAAATGATTCTAAATGTAATGTACGGCGAAACAAGCAATAACTGTCCTCAATCCAGGCAGTATAGGCACAGCAGTCTTAATTCATCACATTGCCATATTCCGACCAGAAGGTATGTGCTTGGGTTGGTGTGCGATTAGAACATAAGCTGTTGAATACGGGGTATTTGATTACAAAACACAAAACACTCGGATTACAATTACTGTTTTTCAGCAAGCGTCGTCCTTTCTCAACCCAGAATGAATATATTTCATGTATCACCTCTAAAGAGAGCTTCGCGTCATTAACTGCGCTTACATACTGATATTTGAAATCGATTAAAAAGAAACAAGAATAATTTTCATATTCAATGATCTTGGAGGCCTCCTTTTAGTTTCATATTGTACAAACAACTAAACAAATGTACATTTAAAGATAAGAGGGTGATCTTATACAGCAATATCTACCCAGTTAGGTAATCTACTCCGTTCTATTATTCATGTCGTTTATCTAGTCCACAAATACGGTTTAATTATAACAAGCCACTAGTAAGCGTTTTTCAGGGGCTCAACATGTTTATTCATGAATCCCATTTAACAGAGAAGGTTTTATAGTGGATCATTACCTTCACCGTGTTCCATTAAGCTTCCTTATGTAGTACTGAATTATTTATCGTCATGAAAATTAGTAAATAAATAATAATAACTGTCAATATCATAAGCAATTTCATGCTTGACAACCACGGAAAACAAAGGCAATTTTGGGGATAATTGTCAACAGTTTGCACATTTGAGAGTTTGTTTTGTTGGAATGGTCAACGAAAGCAGTGAGTTGAAAGAGTACAGGCTAAGTAAAATGCACTCACAAACTAGAATCTCGCGTATTACCCAGTTTGCTACTACAGTTTGCCCAGTTTGAATATATGCTTACCGATGTCATATTTATCTTTGAACATAGCGAGTCAGGCTTCTCGCAACTGATAAGTTTTTTCTCAGTGACAAAGTTTCCTATCCGCACGTGAAACCATGGGTTGGACGGGGAATGTTGGATGGCTACATCACCTGTCTCCTGTTGGGTCATCTAGATGACAGTGTCAGGACCTTAACACTAATCGACATCGGAACAACCATCGACGCTTGAGAAACACATACATTAATACCAAAATGTGATTTCAATTTGTCTAAATCCCATGTTGAATAAATTATAGCACAGGTTTATATGTTAAGGATTACGTAGATACACTGATATTGCATTTACTTCAAAATTCGGAATGAGCGAACGTTAAATATATACTGATAATAATAGCAGTGATAACTATGCCATTATACTCACTAACTTTCTAATAAGAGCGTGTCCATGTGTATCACAGCAGCTTCAAAACACTACTTACAGAAGTTAAACTATCTCATTATTACAATAAATATTAGATTGTACTGTCTATAGAGGAGGCAGGTGTGATGTGGGGGGATGGAGGGGTTGGGCAGGGGACACGAGGGTTTAGCTACACCGGTCAGTGGTGGGGATTTAGCGTGAAACGAGAGCTGGCGAAGGATGTTTGATAACGGGTATTCTGTGTGGTACTGGGGAATCCATCATATATCCACACACACACCACGTCAAGGGGGAACAATAGTCAACAAAGACGCTTGTGATTGTCTTTCGGCGATTAGAGGCAAGATATGGCGAATCACGCAACCAAGCCCGCCTTCTATGCTCGGGTGACGGCCCCAGCGGCTGCTCCGCACAACACCGGCCTGGAAACAGGCTTAAAGTCCAACACGGCCAATTTGAAAGCGATTTCGGGTAATTTCTCCTCATTTGAAACTTGTTCAATGTCTGTGAAATGTGTTTGAAGCGCCTTCATGCTAATAACATGTACATTTCAACCTTCAAAACCCCACCGGAGCTAATTCCAATAAATTCACGCACAGGTACAGGGTAAACGTTAATGTCTCTTTCAAGTCATTAGCTTTGATTAAGGTGATTGTTGCGTCCATCTGTTTCTCTGTGTCTTTAACACCAACAGTCACAAAGTGCACAGACCCCAAGGTGTTGGCTAGTTGGAGAACCTTCGCAACACATCAAGGTGCCCTGATCGTGATTGTGAATGCTTCACGGTTCGGGATATAACACCAACATGTCTTGTCTGTGTCGTGTGATTGTTCAACAACAAAACACAAAATAGGAATTACTTTAATCGCTGTGATTTCGTTAATTGAAGTATTAAAAGTGACGCAGCTGAGATCTAAGATCCGTATGTCCTAAAGATTGCCGTGGGCCGAAAGTAAAACGGTTCGAAATTCACAAAAGCATCTAGTGCATTAAGCTAGCCATTTATCGAAACTAATGTGTTAATTTAAACATGACACCAAGTTTAATAGAAGTTTTCATGGGAATAAAAACTATTCTACTGCCTTTGTAGATTTAATTGTGTAAACTCAAACCGGTTACTTTGTCACCATGCATTATCACGTGACTGTAATTTATCAATATAAACCCATCAAAATATGTTTCCTTTGAAGTGAAAAACAAAACAAAGCCATATTCACGGGAAATAACACATTTTCCTCGTTGTTTTTTTGCGACAGAACATGCGAATGAACCTATGCATTATGTTTCTGATTACACGGAAGCTATTTCCTTACAACGCTGTGCATAAATAGCCTACAGATATTTTTAATCACCTCCCCCCTCCCTACTATGCCCAAGAACATGGATTAAAGATAATGTTTCATGTGGTGTCACTCCCTTAAATCGGTGTCCATCTCTGCCAGAGTGCAGTAGAGTTTGATGCGACAATAACGTGTATTAATCCACAACTCTTTAATAACCAACTGCACTATTACTGCTCAATAGCGAGCCAGTAAAGTACTGTTTTCCTACAGCAATCTCTGTCACCCTGATGTCAGAGCGCGATGAGGAAGAGAGATTGCTGTAGCCTTGAGCACCAGAGAGAAATATGGAGCTTCTAGAGAGACAATAACGGTGGTTAGAAAGGGGCTGTTTGGACGGAGACGGCCACGCCTGCTTCAACAATGGTTAAAAACTACTTGAACACACGACTGCGGCGAATTAGGGAGTACGGGTACATTTTGGAGAGAATTTGAGATCCTTATCGAAGCAAATTTGTATTGTTGTCCTATCTTTGGGCGTGTGTAACAAAGTGCTATCTTAGTTCTGCTACTGGTCGACGGGAGACCAATCCCCTTCAGTTAAAAGACGAGCTTCTTCCGTGCATCAAGTCGAACTATATTGGAACATTTTTAATATTTCGAATATTTCGACACATCAGGGACACATACCTCTGATAATCATGAATGAAACTTATGAGTCTCGTATTCAAATTAAACATTCGAATTGTGATATGAATGGGTTTATTTGTTTGATATGTTTGAATCTGCTTGGTGAATGTGCCTCATTGCATGTTGTCAGTCTTAAGACACGAATTCCAAAACCCATGACTATAATAGCGAAGACAGTTGGATTATCTTTGTGTAAGTTTGTAATTTAATCTTTGGTAATTTAACCTTTAACATTTCACAAATATTTCACATCTAACACAAATTGTTTAGAAGATACACAGGGAGCTCAGATATTTAAATTACAGTGCCACTTGATGAATATTTACATGGATTTCGTAAAGAGATAGCAAATAGTTTTCTGGCCAAATACACTAGAACACGAAAGACGGGAACGATCGGAGCGTCGTGTAGGGACCCAAACAGAGTATAATTTGACAAGTACAAACAATTATGTCAAACCCGGTGTGCCTAACAAAGGTCCATATCTTTAAAGTGGCTGAGAAGCAATGTAGATGGCATTCCTTCATAGTGTGTCATGTAGGACAATTCGATGACACTTGAGAATCAGGTATAGACATCGTAATTATCTGTGTGAGATGTCTACACTGGGAACCTGGGTATACTACACACAAACCGGGTCGACAACATTTAAAAAAAAATTAATTAACAGGTATCTGCGAGTTAGATTCGTGTCAGTTTTTACAATATAATCGAGCATAATGTTGAATATTCACAAGACCGGTGATTTACCATTAATCTGAATGTACATAATTATAGAGACGTCACAACGGTTGTCAAACTACAGAACAACAAATGTGGTGAATCACAAGAAACATTGCGGCAGACAAAGCAATAAAATTATTGAAAGGTGTCACATCGGAGAGAAATTAAAATACCAATAATATTGTTACATGATCCAAAACCTTTCTCTCGAAATGTATGAGATTATAACAGCCAAATGTCCGCTGACTATTTTAAAAAATAGATAAAAAGAAAATAACCTTTTAAAATCAAATTGGTATCACTTTCACAAAATACTGTTTGTTGGATTCATATAAGGAAGATGCAAGATACTCGTATCTGATGCGATAATACACACATGTAGACAACTGATGAAGATACCTGAACCATGTTAACAGAGGGAGATACCAATCGGGGCACTGTCTTAGTTTGAGAGGGGGGATATTGACTGCGATAAAACATAAGCCGGTGGAGACACATTTAGATAAAGTTAGCCTTACGAGCAAGGGGCACTGCGGGCTAGCAATGCCGTAGTAGACGCTGATGATGGAGTTGACGTTGGCGTCACGTACCTGCCGAGAATTTTGCTGACACAGCCGTGAGATACACGTAGTTGTCTTGAAATATCACAGGGACGTACACCCTGGTGGGCGAGGTCCACGATCCGGGTACGAACTACATCGGGCAGCGGTCTGCCATTCACAAACACCCCTCCTAACTGATTCACTCCACCATGGCCTGAAATGGAAAGAAATAATTGTTGAGCAAAATGCGAAAAAGAAAACAAAATACCTAACACAAATTGTGACAGGATGTTGTCTTGGAGAAAAGTTGATATTCTGTTTGTTATCAACCTGAAAAGTCATAAATCGAAAACGTACACAAGTGAATGAATATATTTATTGTGGTTTAATAAAATCGCAAGAAGTATCGTATTCTTAAACACTGAAATAATTATATTGATATCTCAAAGATGTGCTTGTATTATAAAAAAGCAGTTGCATATTCAATTTCCTTTGTACAATTTCAACGCAAAATAACAGATAAATATCATCTGTAGACAGAAGTAAAAACTGAGGTGGTCGTCATTCTAAATGGGTTTCTTCAGTAAGTGTATTTTGTATGCGCTGCTGCTAAGTGGTGTATGGTGTCATTAAAGATACATCAGGTCTGTATATACATATTAAGATCATATCGATATACGTCCGTTTAAAAATACATGTGGGAACACAGCAGTATCGTTCATCTACCGTTTATCATTTGAAAATAAAACATATATACTCAACGCTGATTTGATTTACATTGCAAAAGCTTTAAAGGAAAATTGAAAATCATTTTGTTGAAATGGATACATATTTTGTACACGTAAGAACCAAACTGTTACTATGTCAGTACACTAGGCCTAAATATTCTCGTTTACAAATATCCATTAACAATTGATAAGGACGTGTGATGTAAGTATGCAGCAAAGAGATTAATCTAATGTAACTCAGGTTGTAACAGAAAGAGGAGAGACTGCTGATGATTCTTCAATTAACGTAAGTCAGATGCTAACAAAATGTTATTGTCAGCTGTTGTAAAACTGCCGAGCAAAGCTGTTGTCGGCGATGGTTGTATTGAGGGAAACGACTTTACAAGGACTGGGGATGAATTCCCCCAATTCAACATGAACCAGATCCAGCTATTTAACTCCCTATCGCTGAATATCCTCTTCAGGTGTTTGAAGCATCACCGTTTTCGGGGTTTTAAACCGACCGGAGTTTAAGAGGCCTTTTGTTATACCGCTGAAATAGCAGCAAGCTCGGAGGGCGACGAGTCCTTTAAAAACTGGCTTAACACAAAAATAATGAGAGCCGGGGCTGGAATATGCATCATTCAGACATCTCGCCCAAAATAAAAGCCTATCATCTTAACATTAGAGGGAAAATGACTTACTTACTCACAGCTGAACTCCCCTTAGGCGCAATAGGTTGTAAACATTGCCCAAATATCTCTGTCCTATACAAAGTTGTTTTCAAAGTGTTACGTAAAGACACAATGACATAGCAAAATAAATATTCGGACATAAAATAATTATCCCGTTTGTAGACGAGTGAGAATGGGAATTGATCTCAGATACAGAACAAGGCAATCCCACACAAGCCATCTTCTTGAAGATATTGTTTAAAACAGCATTATAAATAAAGTAAGATAAATTGATCAAACTTTATATTTGCTAAATTTTGGCGCACACTTTGGATATTCGCAAAATTAAGTTATTTTTGTGTGTAAAAGGAATAGATAAAATATTTGTTTCTTTACATTGATATCTATTCCTAGAATCATAATAGATACGCGAAACCTGTAAACAACGAGAAACGTCGTTATTGAGCGCTGTTTATTTCATACAAAATTTGCAGAAACAATATCCACGATTAAATCTCGAAAAATCAATGCATCCGCAAAAACTGAAAGGTCCTTAAAAGTTGAGATTAAAAGTACCTGGTTATTTCGTATTTATTTTAAGCGAAGCATATATTGTTTATAAAATATAAATAAAATTATCCAATCAAAATTACAGGTCCGAATTGAAGCTGATTATTTTGTGCCCGCTTAAAGACACTGTTCCAATACAAGTTACCAAACTGAAAAATAAATCATTTTGTTGTCAACTATTTCCGTAAAGTCGCGCGTGGCAATCGATATAATCTAATGCCATGTTCACTGCGTGATGAAATAGACAACGATGCTGTCAATATGCATATGCCAATACTCTGACAATGATGACAACCAACAATAAATATTTACCTTGATATGGATCAAAAGTCTGAGGAGGCCTGAAGGCAAACGATGGGTGAAACGATCCCCATGAAGGGTGATGCATTGTGTCCTGTTCCCAAAACATTTTAATTGACGCCGGACGGACACTATGACTAGATAGGCACAGGAGTCATCAACGTTAGAAAAGGCAAGTCCAGTCCGTGGGGCAAACACCACCGTCACCCGAGTCAGCAAGCAGCGCACTGACGGGGTGGGGGAGGGACCGGGGTTCTAAGTCCACTCAACAAAATAATATCCGTTGCACAAAAGATTACGAGTGGACCGGTGACGGTGAAACAGTAAAGTGTATAGTATGGGGTGCACAGGTTGACTAATGTCAACAATGTCCGACTCTGCCACTATAGGCCCGTCCAAGCTTGAAACAATCTCCAGAGTAAAACAGCAAGTCTAGGATTGGAATATGCGGGTGGGACAAGGAGCCCGCTCACGTGGACCTGATCCTGCGATAAGTTAATTAGCTATAAACAAACCGCGAGCTGTTCGCCTGATCAGATGAAACGAGCACCACTTTGAAAGGCAGGCATTTCTCGGGTTGCGACTCAGCCCCTGGTTCTGCCTGTCAGCGAGGCTCATCCAGCGATTGGTTGCTGTTACCTTCCCTCAAATCGTTTATTTTCTGCTCGGTCCGCCTCGAGTGATATATCTGTTTCCCTTCCCTCTCGGGTGTAGGCCTGCTCCTGAACGCTACTGGGGAGGAGGGGGCATGCCATAGATATATTGACTTTAAACTGCCACTTGGCACGTAAGCGTAGGATTAAACCTCTCCTCGAGATACATATTTCATATCGCGGGCTTTCGCCCGTCAATCGCATAGTATTTCTCAAACAGATATGACACAAAGTGGTATTTTTGTAGAATATTGATAGTATTGCCAGCCACGAATATCATCCTATGGAAACAGTTAAGTTTAGAGGATAATTGACAGACATTACAGAAAAAACATCTATTGTTTGGATGAACGGGATAATATTAGCACGACAAATTGTTCCAACTCGGTAATTGTTGTGACTATTGTTTTCCGGGGTGGGACAGGCAGGTTGAATTGTTTTGTCGGGGACTTTGTTGACGTCTCCGGTAATAATACCTCGGTATTACGACTTCGTGAAAAATTGATATTGATAATTGAGCAAGTGTGAATGACGAGACCTACCTCTCACGCAAGTAACACAGACAATTATGTGTGGAAAATTGATAGAATAGAACAAAACGGGCAGCTCGAGCCCAGTGACTGGTCAATATCATCAGACCAGGGGATAATCAGGAGAAAGTGAAATTGATCGAACGAGTAAATAAACACGGATATTGATAGTTGAAGTGTATTTGCGTTGTCAATCATGAGAGAAGGGACACAGTCGGAAGATATCCATACAATGACATATTTTGAAGAAATAAAAAAAACCCCAGAGTAACCCTTTACACGTGCTACAAGTGTAGATGTTTAACACAGATGAGGTAAAGGATGTCACGCATGATGGGGTGGGATATCAACTTGCAACTCGACACCTGTGATGAGGGGCCAATACTTTTACAATGAAGCCCTGGGACATGAAATAAGGACGTGCGTAAGAAGATGACGGTGGGAAAAATCACCTCGGTAAAATCGCGAGCAGGTTCCGGTTTAATGCCGATATTTCCGCCGTTTTCGGTAAAACAATGTTATTTATTACTTAAACCACTGCCCGTGTGAATTCCAGTGCAATCAACATGAGGTGTACATTTCAGCGGTGTGTACGGGTGACTGATAACTTCCACATCAGTTCCATCAACTGCAGTGTAGAGTGAGCACTGATTTGCGTAGGGTGTGATACGTGGACTCTCAACCATCTATCGCGTCGGGGATGGATTTGTATTTCATTGAATGCCTGTCAGTTTTCCTTTTGATACATATCGGATATTGCCATTCAAATTCACCACCAGTGAAAGCGTGTATTTGCTAACACCATATCATCCAAAGTTGGAGAACCGCAATCCTATTCTGTTTGTAATGAACGTGAAATCGACAGACAGCAGCAAGGGTCGGGTAGAATACTAACATACCTTTGATAGACATGAGATCTGTGCTGCTTGATTTAGCAAGTAAATAAAGACACAGACTACGGATCAGGGGGCTTGGCCATCTCGAATCCAGTTACCACATTCCACACAATTATCAAAACGTGAAAGCCACTATACCGCTAATCGAATTGACTCTACCATCCATTGAACACAGTAACGTAGGGGCTCGAGTGTATCGTAGCGGACCACGGCTCTCTCTAATGCAATTTACACAAGTACTACAATGTCGATCAACTTTGAAAGAGATTTCTTTTTGGAGGTGTTCATTTCACTAGTCTGTAGTCATGAATGACAAGCATGCTCCGCTTGGAATCACGCGACTCCATGACAACATAACCAGACCTTGACCAATAGCTCGGCCTCGCGGGGACATCTACAGCATGTACATGTCATGATATGTACAACCGGGCGGGATTACGCAAGACTGACAGGTTTCAGAACGGGTGTGAAAAAGTTTAAACGGACTTACTTTTGCACTGGTGATAAAAATCCATCATGTTTAGATTAGGATTTGGGTGGTGATATCGATAGGCGGCGGCGGCGGCGAGGTCCATGTTGCTGAAGGTTTGCCCGTGCATCCGTGTATTTCCGGGTTGGTGATGCTAGGCTCGGGATCAGGTTTGTCAGCTGTATCTACTCGGATGGCCGAGTCGACTCTCACTTTTACTTACAGTCAAGTGTCACCCTCTAACTGCCAGGCCAAAATACTTCACTCATGCACATCATAAATATTTCTACGGTTTGGAGATAGATGACACAAATTCAATGACAAGCGAGCGATTTATCAACTGATTGCTTATCTGTTCAATGATCGATTACTCGGGTCCCTCCTGTTTCAGGTCTTGCGTGTAATTTATTTGTGC